GAGAATGGGGGGGGGGGGTTCCCTTAAATTTAGATATAGCCTCCCATATACATTTTCGTCCAATTTTATGTAAATGGTGCACCAAAAACCCTAAGTACCAAAAACCCTTTGTACAACGAACTGAAGTTAGTATAGCCTAACGTGTGTCAAATTTCGTTAAAATCTGTTCAGATTTAGATATCGCCTCCATTAATATTTTCGTCCGATTTTAAGTAAATGGTCCACCAAAGGCCCATAGTTAGGCCGATTGACACAAAATTTTGCACAGCGTACTAAAAAATTCGACCTCTGTTAGGATGCATCTGTTTTTTTTTAGTCCGCCCCGTCCGACTTTACTATTTTCCTTACTGGTTTTCTTGAACAATCATCAGATCAGATCAAAATCAACAGACATAGGCATTTATAACCAAGGATTAAATTGAGCATTTTATTGATTCAATGCCTGTGCTGCCGCAATCAAAAATAATGGCTAAGCCGTCAATTACTAGCAACAATTGCCTTTTTATAAGAACAAATAAAAAAGTTGATTTTAGTTTACCATAGAATATTTTGACTTCAAAATAAATTTCGTGTTTATATTTTCAGTTTTATAAAAGTGAATAAATTACCAATTTATTTCTGAAAAAAGTTTCACTTTCACTTCAGTTTTCGGAAAATGCAAAAGTTTTGGCCACCAGTGTATATAGTTATCATATATATTTTCCTCCGATTTGAAGGTTGGGATGACAAACTAGTCAAAGTGGCAATTACTATGTACAATAAAACAAGTACAATTATAAATGTAAATTAAGGTAAAAAGATATTAAAAATATAAAATTCATTCTATAGGGGGGGATGATAAGCTACTCAAAGTGGCAATTATAATATAAATATATAAATATAATATATATATTTATAGTTTGTATACCTGTTATTGTTGAATAAAAATTAAATTAATTGGAAATATTAACAATTTAGGGATCGGAACTGATCGGATCGGATTTGAAAATCTACCTAAATTGAAAAATGTTAAAACCAATTTAAGCTAGCTTTTTTCTTCTGTCATCAATTGGTTTAAGATTTTTAAGTTATTTTATAGCTTATGAATTTGTATAACCTGTGTCACAGTGTAATTGGTACAGTGTAAATGGTAAACAATTCCCCGATTCTCATTACTTTCGAACTTTTTATGTAAATCATTTATGCCTAAAAGTATGCAAGAAATTTGTAAAATATTTTTTTAAAAAAATGTGCATTGTATTTTAAAAATAAAATGTATTTTCTCTAAAATCAAAAAGCGTAATGTCTTTTTATTTTACCTATATTACAGTAGTAATAGTAGTCTTAAGTCTGGACAGGGAGGGTCCTTGTAAACATCATATATCTGTGTGAAATAGAAGGAAGAGATTCATTCAATCCATATTCTACCCTTCTACGAACAAATAATTTGAATAAAACCATCCTGACATAACCCGCTCTATCAGCATAAACTATTTGCTTTGCTTATTTTCTTTGTTCGGTATACTAATTTCAAATATTCTGATTTGCAAATATTTTGATGTGGTAGAAAACTAGGTCGTATGAACAATGTAAATAAATAATAATTGCAAATTTCCTAAAATGATAAGCAGCTAAACCCCCCATTTGAATGTCAAATTTTTATATTCAAATTCAATTCGGTAAAAAACAGATTATATTTTGCATTATTATATTTTAAATATTAATTTCGGATCTGTGGTTCATTGTTGGCGTTAGGCTTAATTAATTATTTATACAAAACTATAAACAATGCTGATTATATTTGCAAACTAGTTCTCATATTAATTTGTTGTTCAGCTTATCAGGGGGGTGACATCTAATAAATTTTATTCACTCCATTTTTTAATTGTTTTATTTTGTTATTTTATAAAAAAAAACAAACAAAATAACAAATGATATTTTACTATGAATATTGATAAAGAGTGCGTAGCTGTTGATGAACAATTTGCTGAAATTTCTACAATCTCATTCAGGGGTTAATGAATTCAAGTCAAGATCAAGTGAAATTAAGAAAAGCATAATACGCAATAAATAACAGATGCTACCTTTTAAATTTAACCTTGATTATATGAATATTAAATTCAAATAATATTATAATTTAAATAATAGTTTAAAGTGCTTAATGATTGTGATAATTACAATCGTAAAATTAAAGACATACATGCATATGATTTTGCAAAAAAAATAATAGAAGTATATACGCATTCGAAATGTTATTTTAATTTTCTTAGAAAGAAATACTTGTATAACAATTTATCTCGTTTTTTATTCGGTGAATGTGGTGTTGGAAACTTCATTGGAAGTAAAATTTCCTATCCCTTCATTACATATTTTATGTTCCTCACCACTGGGTTAAGTGTATATTAAATTTGTCATTCCGTTTGCGACGCCTCGAAATAATCACCGGAAACAAAAAAATGTCGCTAAAATCGATCAAATCGTCCTACAAAAATTATCAACATTTAGCCATATAACGTTACCCCATTATTCGGTATTTTATGGACATTCTATTATAGGAAATTAGTTTTCTTTGGATTCACTTTGGGTGTCAAATCTAGTAACCATATATCGGTCATCGTCTTGGTTTAGCTCCCATTTAACGGTTTTCGGTATTTTGAATTAGTCACATTTTCAAAAATGTTGTATATTTAATAATATTTCTCTCCCATTGCCGGTGTTTTGAAGACAAATAAGTTGCAGTAATTTGAGATTTCAAGTATTCGTAGGGTAATAAAAATCTCTGCAGAAAAGTTCAACATCGGTCCCCGCGTTGAAATATTTAACATCGTCAGCACCAAAGCCTCCATTATAGATATTTTGTAGTAAATTAGTATTTCGGGTTCATGGTGCTGGTACATCCTCCTGTAGAGATGAAAAAGGAAACCTGGTAAAGATACAGACAGCGTGTTGAGGATCTGGAAGGAACATTCTGTAAAGCTTATGGTATCAAATATTGGAGGTGATGAAGGTACCCCAGAACCAATAAGAGATGACGGTATAGATTGTATACCACCTAGCCAAGATGAGTTCAGAATAGCAATTAATTGGCTGAAGAATAATAAAGCAGCAGGTCCCGATGGAAAAAAAGAAAACCTGGTGACAGATACAGAGAGCGTGCTAAGGATCTGGAAGGAGCATTTTGAAAAGCTTCTGGTATCAAATAGTAACGGTGAAGAAGGCGCTGAAGGACCAATAAGAGATGACAGTATTGATTGTATACCACCTAGCCAAGATGAGGTCAGAAAAGCAATTAATCGGCTGAAGAATAATAAAGTCTCAGGTGTGGATGGATAACCAGCCGAACTATTCAAACCGGTGGTTAGGCGCTGATCAAGAGCAAGCACCAACTGATTAGTAAAATTTGGCTAGAGGAATGCATGCCCAATGATTGGAACCTCAGTATCCTTTGAAGAAGTCTGCCAAAGTGGAACTGGCAGTAAATGGCGAGAAGACCAAGCTGATGGCATCAAAGCGCAAGACGTCCAGTACACTCGGACCAACTGTGGGTCTTGAAAACTACAGCTTTGATATAGTGAACGATTTTATATACTTCGGTACAGCCATAAACAAAACTAATATCACCAGCTTTGAAATCCGGAGAAGAATAGTGTAGGCCAACAGATGCTTCTATGGACTGAGCAAGGCCACTTCTCGCCAAACTCACACTCTACAAGACGCTGATACTACTCGTGCTGTTGTATGGATCTGAAGCATGGGTACTTGCGCAAGCGGATGAGACACAAAATGGAGTGTTTGAGAGAAAAATTCTCCGGAAGATCTATAGAGCGATCTGCAAACCATGAGCTGTGTCATCTATTCTCGGACATAGACGTATTGAGCTGCAGCGACTACGTTGGCTAGTTCATGTTGTGAGAATGTATGAAAATGAAAGGTATACAAAAGCGGTTCACGCAGAAGGGGAAGACCACGAATTCGATGGAAAGATCAATTGAAAGACAAAATTTCGGTCTTTCAATTTGGAAGAGATGCGCACAAAACAGACGCGCCTGGTAATCTTTTTTAGTTTCGGCTTATGGAACATATTTCTATCACAAACCAGCTAAGTATATAATATGTATAAACGTATGTTTTCATAGTCACTTTCCATATTTACCCGACCCTTGCTCAGAAAATCGTAAATCTACTTCCATTAAAAAATTTCGCCAGATTCATCTGAAATATTTACCATCATTGTACTACATAAACCCGATTTAAATTATAATAAATAAAGTGTTTACACGTCAATATCAGTGGATGCGTTGATTTTTTAAATGTCAAGACTAGTAGACCATCGTACCAAAACAACTTCTGCATAAAGGATTATTATAAAACCCGTGTAATAGAAACAAACCAACAGCATTTGAACATTTTCAATTAAGCTGATTTGTCTGTATATGGGTATTCTGAAAAATAGAGTTGGTATTGTACACATATTTTATGTTACAAATTTATTCCAATATTTTGAAAAGAGACTATTCTCTTTTCCATCTATCCAAATGTTACATTACATATTTTAGTGCAGGTATTTATTTGATATTTTGCTACCTGTTTTTAAGTAGATAGCTATAACTAAAATGATCAATCTTAGAAACCCCTAGGCAATTTTCTATTTTCCACATAAAACAATTAATTATAAACAAACACTGATTGTATTTGTTTGTTTTCAAAGATAAGCGGTGTGTAGTTCTTTTTTATGTAGGGTAGGTCATCACACCGCTTATCACACAATGGACTTAGTGCGTACCCAAAACACAACAACAAAAATAATGTAAAAAAATATTTCCCATAGTGAATCACAGATCGAATCATAAAATCTTATCTATTTGAAAAAAACTACAACATATGATAACATATAAAAACAATGCGTACATAATGTGCCGAACAACATATCTATAAATACCCTAGAAGATCGTAGCAAGAACATCAGTCACCACTGGAGCATAGAACAGAACACATTTCCAAAAAAAAAAAAACTAAAAAAAATGAAACTATTCGTTGTTGTATTATTGGCCACATTGGCTATTGCCCAGGCCAATAGTCCACCGTGTTTGGGCTGCCCATCTCCAGTTGGTGACGAAAAGGGTACACATGATGCCACCGAGGCTCTTAAAGATTCTTTAAAGAAATTCGCTGCTGGTGAAGGACCTTTTTACACGTAAGTATTTACATATATAACTAATAATATAAATGCTTACCTAATATATACATTTTTTATTAATTTTTCTTAGAATTGGTAAAATCCACAAGGCCACTACCCAAGTTATTCGTGGTCACCTGTATAAAATCAATGCCGATTTAGTCGACCAAAACAACCACACCAAAAACTGCGATATTGAAATTATTAGTTTCAAAGATGTTACCGTTACTTTCAAGTGTTCCGGTGAACCGACCCTTACCAAGACATATAACCCATAAGTCAATAATGATTGTAATTAATAAATAAAATAAAAAAGACTGTTACAAATATAATTATGATGTTTTAAATTATTAAATGTATATGGGAGTTTTCAGGGATTCAAAAACATCTTAGTTTTTACTATGCAAAAAAAATGAAGCTCGTTGTATATGTATGGATAATTACTATCTTCACTTTTGATTGCTATTTGTATTCGACAATACCCGTATATATATTTATTGTAATAATATTTTTCAATATTGTGAACGTTTTTGAAGGATGAACCTAAATCTTTATTTCTGCCATCTTTAGACCCAAAAAAAGGTGAAGAGATGTCGTACAATTTGAAAATGTTAAATTTTTAAATAACTCCGTGTTGAGAGATGGAATGTTTTACGCTATATTCAATTAAGTAATCAATTTTCACGAACTTTTACAAACTTTCAAGTGGCCAGAGTTCGTCTGTGGGAAGGCATTCTATAGAAAGAAAAAGAAGAAAGGATTGACAGAATACTTTATAGACAGGAAACCTTTTCATAGACTTAAGATCTTCCAAAAATCTACTATAAAATGCACATTCGACACATTCTTTATAGTTGTTATAAACGGAAGACATTCTATGTCAACTATAGATAAGAGCCATCCATTAAATAAAAGAACTCCTAAGTCATCTAAGAGACATGAGAACACTTTACTGGTTTGCTTGGTTTGCTCTCATATATGTTGTTGTCCGATTTTATGTAAATGATGCACCAAACTACCAATATTTGTCCGATTGAGATCAAATTTAGCACAAAGTACTGCATTAGGTCCTATTTGTATATGCATAGTTTTGGTGAAATCGGCTCATTTGATATAAAAGATGCCACCAACTCCCAATGTTTGTCCGATTGAGACAACATTTTGCATAGTGAATGGAATTGAGTCAAGAATTATGTGTTTAAGGTTTGTAAAAATCGGTTCCGATTCATATTTAGCTCGCATATGTAATTTCGTCCAAATTTATGGAGAATATGTTTCTTCCATATACAGTCTGGTATGACATGTATAAAGTTTTGTTGAAATCGGTTTCGTCCACATGGTGTACACAATAACTATAGTTTGTCAAATTGAACCTAGAATAACGTCAATTGGATTTTGAAAAATATATTTAGATGTAGAGATTGTAGACCTGTATTCTCATCTGATTGGTTTATGGTTGGAAGAAATAGTAAGAAGTGCAATGTTTTGGATGAAATTGGTTACTCCCTTTCAGAATTATCATGCGCACCAGCAACACTACAGATGAACAGAGGGAGTGTCGGACATTTGTTAATCGACTCAATACAATATTTCTAAATACAATGTATATGTATATGTACCCTCAATAGCTGTAATTTCACTCAAATTTTTTAGACCCTCAACCACAAAAATCTATATTTTCATACCCATAACGTGGAGTGTATATTAAATTTGTAATTCCGTTTTCAAAACCTCAAAATAACCATCGATGAAGTAAAGTAAATAAAAATAAAATTCTAAGTCGATTTAGTCATGTCCGTCTGCAGAAATCACTATAGAGATCGCAATAATTAAGCTAGAGCTCTGCAATTTTGCACAGACATTGTTAGTACTTCAAGGATATTTGGCATTGTAATTGTATAATGGTCTACGTTTTAGTATAGTATAACCGTACTACTCAATATTCGGAATTATGTGGATGTTGTATTTTGGGGTTTTAATATATAGTGAACATCTATACTTAAAATTATAAATATTGACCAATGTTTCGGGGTAGCCCCCATATAGGGGTATATTCGGCATTTTAGGATTGTTGAGCAAGTTTTTCAACCGAGTTGGCAGTAAGTATATCTTTTTTATATTCTTCCAAATCACAACCATGAATTATCAATATCGGTCCCCGTTTTGGTATGACAGTATGAGTCTATAAACGATAGAGTTGGTGTCTTATTTTTTATTCCAGCAAGTTCCAGATGTAAGTATATTTGGGAACTATACCTAAATCTGGATTGATTTGCAGCAATTTTATTTAAATCATTAAATGAGCTTTGTAAAATTTAATCTCATTCGGATTTTAAATGTCACCTGGCACCATACTATAATAAATAGAAAATTGCGGATACTTTTGATGGAATAAAAATCCTACAATCTCAAAATACCGAAAATTTGGAATACCATCTTATGGTGCTATACCTAAGGAAGGTCCATTTGTTTAACTCATGTTACGAATATTTTTGTTAGCCAATCAGAATCCACTTCGGTTGTAAAACGTTTTCAAAATCCTATGCATAAACGGGAATCTATTGGGAGCCCATAAAAATGTTAGATTTGTCACAAAAATGTTAGATTTGTAACTTGATAGCTGTGTATATTGATTACAACTAATATGCTGAAATACATTTTCTCCTGATCAGATATTTTGAGTTATTAAAATTTGGCCTGTAAGGGCGATGGACATTTGAATGATTTTTAGGTGAGTTTTTTCTAGTTCGAGTCGAGCTTAGTGATCGAATCTTTGCAATACAAAGGTCGCAGTTAATGCGAAGTCGCTTCTGCGAAGTATATTCAAATTTATCAAATTTGTCTTCAATCTAGAAACATTTGATTTCAAAGCTGTTTTTTCTTGTAGCACATACTTGGTGGGCAATAAAACATTTCCCCACTAATAAACAGTTGTTTCTATAAAAAATGGCATCCCAAAAACCCGCCGACACTAATGACATTTTTAGAAATCAAATAACAAACTATTCTGGGATCTCTCATATAAACAAACGATTGAGCACTTTGGATATTCCAATTATCACCAAAAATACATACACATATGGAACAGGTAGATCTACAAAATCTGTCATGTGCAATAAAGATTATAGAAACCGCTCGCCATCTGGAAAACACACAAAGAAAAATGATATTTTTAAATCCATTTATGGCTTATCAGCAGCCTTCTCAAGAACGCACCACTTAGTGAGAATATTCGAAACTAATATAATCTATGAAAACAAATTACAATAACAAAGAAAATATGGCACACACATTTGTATTTCATCAGTTCTTGATCCTCACACACAAAATGAGAAGAAATGTAACGAAATAGTATAAATAGTTCAATAGAAGAGCTCTCAAGCACCAGTTGTCGTTGAAACATCGAACAGATCAGAAGGAAAATAAAAATGAAATTTTTCATTATTGCATTCTTATCAGTATTGGCCATTGCAAAGGCTAATGAAATCTGTGCTGGTTGTGTAACAAATTTGACCGACGACAAAGGTATTGAAAGGGCCACAACTGCTCTTAATAATTCGTTGAAGAAATTGGCTGCCGGTGAAGGACCAACATATAAGTAAGTACATTTAAAAGACGAAATTTTGAATTGAAATGTTAATTTAATTTGTTTTTTTTTTTTTAATTTTCCAGACTTGTAAAAGTTAACAGTGCCTCATCACAGGTCATTCGCGGTCACCTATTCCGTATTAATGCCGATTTAATTGATGAAAATAATCAAACCAAAACTTGTGATATTCGAATTATTCAATTCACCGATGTAGAGATTACCTTCAACTGTCCCCAGGAACAGGAATTATCTAGAAAGCATAGTTATTAGATTTATTTTGAAATTGAAAAAAAAAATAAATGAAATATAACAAATTGCCGTATGTTACTTAATTTTATATCACCTCGAAACGGGAATTAACCACATCGCTGAATACGTTATGACATTAATGCAACCAAATCGAGGTTTTACAAAGAATATCCGTCGACATTTCGTATTTTCTCAGCAAATTATGGTTATAGTGACATAATACTTTCACTTATCTTTAAGTTTTAAAGAAATTTGTGTAAAGAACTGAACTCCTTCTCACTGTTTGAAGTTTTGGGTGAGCTCAACTCGATAAACATTATATTGAATGTTCAAAACACATGTATTGTTTGTAGACGCCTTCGCAAAAATCCTTAATATATGTGTGTCGGTATATTTTGAGACTTCCTGTCCCATTTTTATCCAAAATGGTTGGATAATGTTTGGGAACTCGCTTTGATCAAAAATCGAAGATGGTATAATTGACAGTCAAAGCGTGTGAAAATCCGAAAAATCTTATGCATAAACATTACCCATATATCCTCTATTGGACCTTAACCTGCTTGTCACCAAAATGTTAGCTTTGAAACTTGATAGCTTCATTAATTTTCTCCTGATCAAGAGTTTGTATTTATTAGATTTTTGCCTGTAAGGGCGATGATAATTTTAATAATTGGTAAGGGTATTTTTTCCTTCCTTCCTTCCCTCTACAGCGAATTATGTTGGTAAGAGTGGTCTAAACCTCTGATATAATTATAAACGGGATAGATCGTTATATGGGGGATTACAATTTTCAAGGAGATTTTGCCTTGGAAGTATAAAAAGATTATCCATTTTAAAATCGAAATTATTAAATATTGTAGGTACAGTTATATTGGTATGATAGATATGATGTAGGTACATTTACCACCAGACAGGTAAACCGTGTTTAAGTTCAGGCCAAACGTTAACGCACTAAAAACTATTAATCCAATCTGTTCCATATTTTAACACATTATTCAGGGTTATCATATGAACTATGAACACAGCTTTCATATGAACTAGGACAGCTCCAATCGGAAAAGATCTTTCCAATATCTCAGCTTGATTTTTAGACGAAAATATGTAATTTTACAAAAAAAATCCTTGGTCTTCCATTTTGCAAATTTTCGAGGGAAGTCGTTGCATATCCTAGTTCATACCAGAGCCTATCTAATTGCGCAATTTTTAGTTTCGAATGTTCTTTTATTACAAAAAAATAATAATAACGACGACAACAAGAACATTTTGTCAATTAATTTTCTTCTTCTTTAAGTCTTCATTCATTCATTTGCCAGCCGGTTGATAATCATCGAATTTTGAATTGATTGGGTGGGGTCCCCTTAAGTCTATGAATGATATACCCTTTCATAAGACGACAATGTGACTCGTCGAGATATCGGTAGACCTAATATGTATCAAACAATATGGAGTCGTTTTACAAATGTAGGGGAGACTGGGACAGCTTCGGCTCTTTTTCTTTAGAGCTCTATATGATTATTATAAGTTAAATATTTTTACAGTTTCAAAACAGTCGAATTCGCCGATGATGCTCCTACGCGGGATAGCTTCGGCATTTTAAGGGGCACATTCGTCATTAGAATGTAGATTTTTTAAAGGATCTATATTGTTTTAATACGCGACTCAATGTTTGACGTTTAAGGGAACCCCACCCCTTCTCGATTTTAGTTTTTCAAGATTTTCAAAGGACTGGTAAATCAATACCAATGCTTGTTAAGGTTTGTAACTTTGCACATATATATTTGAAGATTTAAATGAGAAGAAAAATAATTTACAAAAAATTTTTGTTATTTCTTTGTTGTTGTTTTTTGTAATTAAAGAAAAGTCCTTATTTTTGATGGCGGGCATGGTAACTCCTCACTGGAACATCGGAATCCGAAAATTCCAACGGTGTTAGAAAGAGTACATGTCTGACTCTCGTATGAACTAGGATTATTGACTTCGCTCTAAAATTAACAAAATGGCGGACCTTTGAAAAAATATTTTTGGATAATCACCGATATTTGACCAAAAACCAAGTTAAAAAATAAGGAAGATCTTCACCGATTGGCTTTATCCTAGTTCATACGATAGCTATACACTCACAGAGAAACGTGTAAAAATTTGGAATCGATTGGGTTATTAGTTTTTGAGTTATCGTGCCCGCCATTCGCAAAAGAGAAAAACGCGTTTAAAGTTTGAGAAGCCGTCACCTGATGCTGACACAATAAATCGGCCATATCTTCAAGAGTTCTTGAGATTTTCACTTGAAATTTTGTAGAGACATTCTTGAATTAGTGTAGAATCGAATTAAATCAAAAAAAATTTGACCCCGAGAATGGGGGGTCCCCTTAAGGCAATATTTTGTAGCGGCATATTTTGACGTCTCAAGGCCACACACACAATAGCTTTTCTATCGCAATTTCGTTTGGTCTTATAGTCGGTGTTGTCGACAGACATATACCCTCAACCTATGGTTTGCGGAGGTGGTCTTCATAGTTATACACAGGTTTCATTATTCGTTATATATAAGGTATATATTTAAATAAAGATTTTTCGGATTTTATGTTGATCAAATATATAATATTGATCCTTTTTGTAGGATGTACCAGAGGATAGGGACCTTCGGACTTGATTTAGGTTTGGTAAAGATAATAGGTTGTGGAAGATTTGGTTCGAATCGGGCATTCGATTCCCCTGATATTGGATTTATAAATATTGAAAATGTTGACCCTTTGTGGGGGAGGTACCAGAAGGAGTGGCCCGATATCGAATTAAAACTAAATTTGCTAGAAATATTAAGATGTGCAAAGTTTGGATGACATCGGATATTCACTTTGTGAGTTATCGTGCGCACCAGCCAGTCGGACAACAGACGGACGAACATTTGTAAATCGTCTCCAAATTTTCTGAAACGGATTTGGTCCAAAGAAACATGGGTCTAAAACCAATATTTCGTGATGCACATTTTCACCGTATCAAAGTGTATATACCCTCATTAGCCATAAGGCTGAGGGTATAAATATAAAAACCCGTACAACTAAATAAGTTTATTAGCTTGGTATTTCAAACTTTGTGACAGTTATTTATTTATTATTATTTTTTTTTATTCGATACGTATGTATCAAACCTAGTGTTGTACTATTAGAGTTTCACATCGAAAGCGTCATTGCCGAAGGTACCCCAATGCCGAAGTTCTCCCTACGTCTGACTGGTGTCATACTTCTCAAAGAGAGTAAACGATTTTATCCCAATTTATAAATCGTAGTAATAACGTGTGATTTCATAAATGCTTTTCCTAAAAAATGCATGAAATATTTATCAAATTCGACGATTGCGAATATCGGTCACATCGTTCGTAAACCTCAACATTTTTGTAAAAAATAAATGCAAATTTTGCCCAATATTTTGAAAATGTTTATTATTAAATCTTGTATTTGTATTTTATTATTTATTATATTTCCTTCCTGCTTTCCAGTTGTATAACTTGTATTAATATATTGTATTACATGCCCCAAGGGATTTCTTTTTCAATGGTTGGTTGACCTTCACAGGCAAATGTTACGCTAGTGTTTTTAATCAATAAATGAAGTGTAATTGTAACTTTACACTTTTGAGTTTGGTCTTTAGACTGCGATGATTCTGCCGTATCTACAGAATTAGATGATGGTGATAATTGAGCGTCGATGGTCAGTACTTGTACCAAATCCAAGGATGTGGCCGAGTCAACTCTGTAATAAAAAAAATTAAGCATAACATGCAATGTCAAGAAATCATTTTACAGTCGATATCGTTTAAGACAACAATGTTTTAAGGAAATATACCGATGGCATCCAAAAGTCCCGAAAAAGGTTTTGAACTCTATTTGATAAAGTTATAGCGACAAATTTCGCCGTTTCTCTGACCGTGGCTATAAGAGATTTCGGCTGTGATCTAAATACTCACTTCATATTAAGATTATCACCACGTTTACTAATGTTATGCAACAAACGATTCAATATAATTTCTCCCACTTTCAATACCAATGGTTCATCGGGTTTCAAAAGAATTTCCAATATTTCAAATGCACTCAAATCGATTTGATCCAAGTTCATTAGATTATTTAGTACATCACCGCTGGATGCATTCATAGTGACTCCCAGTATTAGGAGAGTTAATATAATTTTTGACATTTTTTTTCTAAATTATAAGCTACGAAATTTGCAGTAGAACTAAATTAATAATACTAAAGGAATCGTTGAGAGTAAATTCTATTTTATATTTTCAGTTTGCGGAAATTATTTTTAAAGTGGATTTTATCTATATGAAATACTTGAGAAGGTTTTTTTAAGAAAATGATATCTTTGAAATTGTTGTGTAAATAATTTTCAATATATTTGTATATTTTTGAAGATAATGCTAATTTTGTATTTGAGTTTCGAATTTGTGAACTTGTGGACATTTTCTACTTTAATAATATCGGAATAATCAATTAATAAATAATGACTTTATACCACAAGTATGTCTGAGCAATTTGATCCATCAGTCTCACAATGGGTAGGGAGGTAAAACGTTACATATTTCAACTCTAGAGACTTTGAGCTTTACACCAGTTAAATTTGATATAATTTTAGATCAGGATTTACATAAATTCATATCCGAGAAATGTTTTATATTATTGACATGTGTCAAAATATTAACATGAAATGACGATAGAACTGGTGACTCTAATTAATTTGAAGATCATCATCAAAAATGTCGTATTTAAATAAATATGATTTTTTACAAATATTTTAAGTTTCAGAACATAGTGCCAAAGAATATTTTTAGAACTTTGTGACTGTCTGCGACCGTTCCAGTCTCATTGGGTGTGAAATCTTCGTACCAAAGATTTCAGGGTAGGTCCCATATTAACGTACGCCCCATTATTCCGGATTTTTGAAATTTTTATCAAGTTTTTCAGCGAAATCTGTTATATATCATATATGGGTATACAGATAGATATCTAATATATGTATACCCATAAC